CACATGCAGAAGAATGAAACTGGACCATTTCCTTACACCACACACAAGAATAGACTCCAAATGGTTGAAAGACCTAAACGTGAGACAGGAGTCCATCCAAATCCTAAAGGAGAACACAGGCAGCAACCTCTTCCACCTCAGCAGCTGCAACTTTTTCCTAGAAACATCGCCAAAGGCAAGGGAAGCAAGGGCAAAAATGAACTATTGGGATTTCATCAAGATAAAAAGCTTTTGCACAGCAAAAGAAACAGTCCACAAAACCAAGAGACAGCCGACAGAATGGGAGAAGATATTTGCAAATGACATATCAGATAAAGGGCTAGTATCCAAAATCTATAAAGAACTTATCAAACTCAACACCCGAAGAACAAATAATCCAATCAAGAAATGGGCAGAAGACATGAACAGACATTTTTCCAAAGAAGACATCTAAATGGCCAAGAGACACATGAAAAAGTGCTCAACATTGCTCGGCATCAGGGAAATCCAAACCAAAACCTCCATGAAATACCACCTCACACCAGTCAGAATGGCTAAAATTAACAAGTCAGGAAACGACAGATGTTGGCGGGGATGCGGAGAAAGGGGAACCCTCCTACACGGTTGGTGGGCATGCAAGTTGGTGCAACCGCTCTGTAAAACAGTATGGAGGTTCCTCAAACAGTTGAAAATAGAGCTACCATATGATCCAGCAATTGCACTACTGGGCATTTACCACAAAGATACAAATGTAGGGATCCGAAGGGGTACGTGCACCCTGATGTTTATAGCAGCAATGTCCACAATAGCCAAACTGTGGAAGGAGCCAAGATGTCCATTGGCAGATGAATGGATAAAGAAGAGGTGGTATATATACACAATGGAATATTATGCGGCCATCAAAAGGAATGAGATCTTGCCATTTTCAATGACGTGGATGGAACTGGAGGGTGTTATGGTGAGTGAAATAAGTCAGTCAGAAAAATACATGTATCATATGACTTCACTGATATGAGGAATTCTTCATCTCAGAAAACAAACTGATGGTGCTTGAGTGTTGGGGGGTTGGGAGGGATGGGGTGGCTGGGTGATAGACATTGGGGAGGGTATGTGCTATGGTGAGCACTGTGAGTTGTGTAAGACTGTTGAATCACAGATCTGTACCTCTGAAACAAATAATGCAATATATGTTAAGAAAAAAAAAAGAAGAAGAAGAAGATAGCAGGAGGGGAAGAATGAAGGGGAGCTAGTCAGAGGGGGAGACAAACCATTAGAGATGATGCACTCTGAAAAACAAACTGAGGGTTCTAGAGGGGAGGAGGGTGGGGGATGGGTTAGCCTGGTGATGGGTATTAAAGAGGGCACATTCTGCATGGAGCATTGGGTGTTATGCACAAACAATGAATCATGGAACACTACACCTAAAACTAATGATGTAATATATGGTGATTAACATAACAATAAAAAAATTTTAAAAATATTGCAAGGTGCATTGAGTTCTCTTAACACCTGAGTTAAGAGTGTAGTCTTAGAAATTTGTTTTAAAATTTGTAAAGTATAGAGGTTTTTTAAAATATTCATTGTTGTTATTGATTTTAACTTAAATTTTAGTCAGATATTTTGTCTAAATATTATAAAATTTTTATAATATGTTGTCTTCTTTTACCATCAATATGACTGAAATAAGAGCTAGGATCCCAGTTCTACTCACCTACATTTTAAACAATGGTCATAAAGTTATATTGCATATAAGAGAGCTATGAAGACCCTAGTTATTGCCCAACTATCTACTACCACTACCAAAAAGTAGGATGTCACTGAGCTGAACCTAGATATTATTGTCGAACCTCTCCTTCTAGACAGTCTTTGGTTATGATATCCTAGCATCCCTTGAGACTAAACCAATGAAGATGTATAAGAGAAAATAAGGTACCAAATTTCAAAAATATCCACCCAGTTATTAACACTATACATCACACTGGTGATCTAGATCTCTTACTTTTTAGGGTCATCAGAATTTCCTGTAGGCTTACAACGAATAAGGTTTGAGCCAATGGTAAACTAACCTCTTTCTATCTCATTCTGCTTCTTCAGGTGAATATACTTATGTAAATAGGTGCACTGTTATTTTAAGATTATTTTCCATTTATTTAATCAATTGATTTTGGCCATATATAGGGAGATAACATCATGATAGAAAAATCCGTACTTTTGCACACTTGTGTTCCAATACATGATAATGGCTTCCAGATGCAATGATTCTATAATCACTGGAGAAGAAATTCTTTGGAAAAACTCTGTGGGTTCTAACCTTTTTAGAGGCATGGGCTGGAGAACTACAGGTCTTCTATGTTATCCGTATTTACTATTATGCTCAGTAAGATAGTTGAATTGTGTCCATTTTTATTCTCTTATTTCAGGTAAGGTCAAAAATTGGCTATTGTCCACAGTTTGATGCTTTGCTGGATTACATGACTGCTCGGGAAATTTTGGTCATGTATGCCAGGTTGTGGGGTGTTCCTGAGACCCAGATTACACAATATGTGAATCAACTATTGCAATCACTAAATCTGGAACCCTATGCTGACAAGTTTATTTATACTTACAGGTGAGATATTATACTGGTGCTCTCATTGCGCTAATATTGATCAGTCTCTTGTGTTTCTGCTCTTTGGAATGGGTGCCTACTGTTTAACCAAAGTTCCACTGACAAACAGAGGCAACAACTATGAAGCAATCTCATGCCCTGCCAGTGTTTAGATGCCAGCAGTAAAGCAGACCTGGACAGTATCATATCTTCCCTTTGCAGAGATGGAACTCAAAATCTTGGTGTTATTAGAATTGTAGCCATTGAATTACAAAAGAGACTATTTTTCTACCTCTATAGTTCTGTGTCTCTCAGATAAAAAAAAAAGTAAGATTCTTTGTATTAGCCTGGCCACTATGTTGCTTATGTATCTAGGAATCCCAAGAAATCTCAAGAATAATATAAATTTCACTGATGACATGGCTAAAATTGATTTTGTAAACAAAAGTCACTTTTCTACATTTCAAATGAAAATGATTTGATTTATTGCAGGTGTTTTTGGGTCTGGTGCCTTGGTTGAGCTGCATGTAATCAGCATTTTTAGTACTTCTGCTTGTTCCCTGACTCAGCATTTTGGAAATACGCAAATTGTTTTCTGTAAAAGATGACATGTATTAAATAGATGTTTGATGTATTAAATTACTGTAATGTAATTTAATCTCTGCTTCTTCTTTCTTGACCATGAAGTGGAGGAAACAAACGTAGACTGAGTAATGCCATTGCCCTAATGGGAAAGCCCTCAGTCATCTTCCTGGATGAGCCATCAACTGGCATGGACCCAGGGGCCCGGCGCCTGCTTTGGAACACAGTAACAAGGGCACGTGAAAGTGGCAAAGTCATCATCATTACCTCTCACAGGTGTGGTTTATTGGGAGGCTTGATTAAGGGTTGGAAGTGTTTTCATGGCTATGGGAGAGCAGTATTTGGGGCTTGCAATATAGGACAGTAAACGAGCCTAAGTATGAGCTCCTCCTGAATCCTAGTGAAAGGAATGGCCAAGAATTCTCACTGAGAGGAGAGGGCAGAAAATTTATGATCTGTTCCATTTGAGAATTTGGTTCTCAACTACTTTGAACTTGAAAGTATCTCCACTTTCCATGATGTTGATGATGGGCAAATGCGACTTCCATTTTAAAGAGTTACAAAATACTAGAAAGTTGAACTACAGAATATCTTCCAAAGGAGGTCTTTTCAGCCTTACATCATTCTGGTGTCTTGTTTTGCTAGTATGGAGGAATGTGATGCCCTCTGTACCAGGCTGGCCATCATGGTGAAGGGAAAATTCATTTGCCTGGGCAGCCCTCAGCACCTCAAGAACAAGTTTGGCAATGTTTACATCCTGAAGGCTAAGTTCAAGATGGATACAGATGAGAAAGAATTAGAGAATTTTAAAAAATATATTGCAACGGTTTTCCCAGGTAAATTAGATTGGTTAGGCTAACTTCGTTAGAGATGTATTAAATCATATTAGTTGTTCTCACCACCCAGATAGCATGTGTCTCCAATAACTATTTCTTGTGAGGTATTGATATTTATTGATCTTCCATAATTGAGATCCTTTTTATTTTTTAAAAATTTTAAAATTATTTTTAGAGAGAGTGCAAAAGCCAGGGCAGGGAGGGATAGAGAGAGAGAGAGAGAATCTTAAGCAGGCCCTCACGCTGAGTGTGGAGCCCATTGTGGGGCTCGATCTCACAACCTGAGCCAAAATTATGAGTTGGATGCTTAACAAACTGAGCCATCCAGGTGCCCTTGGAGATCCTTTTTAATATTTGTTCTTATAAAATCCTTGTGCCTGGTTGTGTTAAGAAGTTTTCACAGAAAGAAATCCACAAACAAACAGAAATACAGTTGACCCTTGAACGACATGGAATTGAATGACATGGGTCAACTTATACATGGATTTTTTTTTTTTGGTAAGTACAGTACTGTAAATGAATTTTCTCTTCCTTATAATTTTCTTCATACCATTTTCTTTTCTCTAGCTTACTGTATTGTAATAATACAGCATATAATACATATAACATATATAATATATGTTAATCAGCTGTCAGTAAGACTTCTGGTCAACAGTAGGCTATCAGTAGTTAAGTTTGGAGGGAGTTGAAAGTTATATAGTACTCCCTGTATTGCTCAAAGATCAATAGTATTCACCAACCTTTTGTATATTAACTAGTAGGGCAGTTGTAGATTAGGACTATCTGTATGATTTATATATCTAAAGTCATATGTTTGAACATAATTCTCAATTATTTGCACATATAATCTGTATAAGTCTGCTAGGGCTACTATAATAAAATACCACAGACTAGGGGGCTTAAACAACAGATATTTATTTTCTCACAGTTCCTTGGCTAGAAGTCCAATATCAAGGTTTCAGCAGGTCTGGTTTCCCCTGAGGCCTCTCTCTTTGGCTTACTGATGGCTGCCTTCTTGCTGTGTCCTCACACAGCCTTAATTCTGTGTGCACATCCCTGGTGTCTCTTCCTCTTCTTATAAGGACACCAGTTGTAGTGGATTGAGGCCCCATCCTTACAACCTCATTTAACATTAATTACCTCCTTAAAGGCCCTTTGTCCAAACACAATCACATTTGGGATTAGGACTTTAACATATGAATTTGGGGGGATACAATTCAGTCCATAATATCATTCATCAAAACTTTAAAGGTTTTTTTTTTCCTTGCACTAATAATGTAACTCTGGTCTCTTTCTGTCAGAGCCAGGATATGGAATTGAGATTCAAATAAGAATCAGTAAGCTTTTCTCTCCTTTCAAAAGTAGCATGCTTCTACATGCTAAATTCAGTAAGCATCTCTCTGCCTATATGGTACAATACCAGAGAAAGCAACTATTTTTTTCTGTCCTTTACTTCTCTTTCCTAAATATAAAGCAGGGACATGTCAAGACTTAATAATTCTGATTTTTACCTTAGTTTCCACCCTGCTATGCTGAGCAAAATATCATAGAAGTCTATTTTGTATCAGGCAGGGGAGTCAGACTTCTAAACAATAGAAAATAGCATGATGGATTATGCAATAAGAATGGAGATCAGAAAGTAGAAAGAAATGGATTGTAGTGTACATGTGGAGAACATAGGTGTGGGAAATAGACTTTCTTTAGTGCATAGTCCATTAGGAAGTTCAATATTCACTTATGCATTCATTTGGCAAATATTTCTGAGTACTTGTATCAGAGTTCTAATTGATGTGGTCCCTAAATCACCACAAAGAAAAGCTGTGACTAGAAAAATCTCACTTTGTGCTACCCTAGCAACTTGCTCTACTTAAAGAAGGGACACTAAACACTGACCCAAAAGCTATCCCCAAGGATGTGGACACAAGAACTTTAATGGGAATGTGGGTTTGAGACACTTTTTCACCTGTCAGGTGGTTGTTGCCCCATTCTTCCTCACATTATTTTGAGCAAATAGCTATTCAAATATGACAGAACTGAAAAGGAACCGACATGGAACTCGTATGTAAATATTAGCCTTTAAAAAGATTAAATAAATATTACAAGCAAAGATAGCTAGAATGTCCACTTCTATAATGGGCTTACCAAAGGAATGATAAATATTTAGAATAAATGGTTGCATGAAAAGAAAATACTAAATCACAATAAGAAGGCTAAGAAATTAGATGACTAGACAACAAAAAGATATAGAAAGACAACTGACAGCATTTTTTAAAGTAAACAATTCAGTGGTGTCTGGGTGGTTCAGTCGATTAAGTGTCTGCTTTCATATGGTCATGATCTCAGGGTCCTGGGATGGAGCCACACATCGGGCTCCCTGTTCAGTGGGGAGTCTGCTTCTCCCTCTCCCTCTACCCCTCCCCCCGCTTTGCACCTCTCTCTCGCTCTCTCTTTTTCAAATAAATAAATAAATAAAATCTTTAAAAAAATAAAGTAAGCCCTTCAAAAAATAATTAAGTACCAGGAACAAATAGACAGTATAGGAATTATAAGGGAAATGGAGATTGGATTGGAGAAAAAGAGGAAAACATTAAACAAAAAGATAAACAATCATTTGAGAGAAAGTAAGAAAGAAGGAAGGGAATGTTAATACAACACAATCATAAAAATAGTCTACAAAGAAAAAATGTCACAGAATGGAATAAATACTAAATACTATCAAGAAAATTTCCTAAAATAAAAGAAAACAAAACCTAACTGAAAAGGCAAATGACACCTCCCCAAAAAACTGACCTCAAATCATTAATGCCAATGAATATTCTAATATAACTATTGCACTTTAATAATAAAGCAAGGGTGAAACTTTGGCTTTGCAGACAAAAAGACATATCTAAAGGAAATAAAATCAGATTGAGCACATGCAGATCAACTAAGAAATGGTTGGAGAAGCTTCTGCATAAGAACTAATGGACATTGAATAAATGTAACTGTAGAACTAGGGCTAAATGCAGGGTATTTGTGTGATAAAATATCACATACTTGGTATATATTTTAGACATACATGTATAATACAATTATCAAAAACAGGGAAAGAAGGCAAAGAATATATGGAAAGTTAAATATGATTATTGACTATATATTACGTATTAGCTGTTAATGATAGAACATTGCTTTAAATTGCATGTCGGTAGAGGGAACTAAGAGATTACTAGCACAGAGAATGCTGTTCATAAATGGAACCAAAAGAGTATCTCAAAAAGATGGGATTATGGACATTAGTATAAAGATATTAATATGAAGTTGTTCATTAGAACAAAAATACAAACCTTTGTATATTACAAATATAACAGGAAGTAGAAACAACCACCATACTGGGAGTGTTTGTGCATGCGTGTGTGTGTGTGTGTGTGTGTGTGTGTTCATTTATGTGTGTACATAGATCTATGCATTTCCATTTCCATGTACATATAGAACAAGATAGGGGAACTGCTACAGAACATATTGGTACTATCAATCAATCAATAAATTAAAAGGCTTAGCTCCAACTAAATGAAAAAGTATTTTTTCAGATTGACTAACAAGCAAATTCCAACTCTCTGCTGTATATAAAAAAACATTACAAATGCAAACTGAATAAGAGAGATTAAAAACAAAAATATGGTCTTCATGATTTTATGCTAGCTCCAATATTCAACTTTTAGCAAAATATTAAAATTTTAGCAAAATCTTCTTACTATATGGTGGCCATCAATGCCTGCCTTATATAAGCAAATACTTTCTTCCTGTTTCTCCCTGCAGGTGCCTGTCTCTCCCCACATACCATGTTAGTTGTTTGTCCAGTGTTTGCCTAATCACAGAACTGATGAGTTAAAGAAAAGACATGAATTTGCAATGTATCCACCCTTTTCTTTTTTGAAGTGTGGGAGTGACCCTCTTTCCCACTTTCCACACCTCTGAGGTGAAACCAAAGTTGGTACAACAAATTATAAAAAGAGCAATGGCCCAAAAATTCCATCTTCAGGTATACCTTAGATACTTGCATCTACCTGTCCTATGAGATAAGTAAAATAATATTTGAATCAGTGATAGTCACAATATTCAGACACTAGAAGCACCCTATAATCTATCAGCATGGAAAATAAATTATGAAATAATCATATACCAGATTACTGTACAGAAAGGAAAAAAATGAGTGAATTATAACTATATGAAACAACACGAATGAAACATACTATTGAGTGATGTCATCAAGATGATAACATAGGTCATTCCTGACTTCAGTCCCAGTCACAAGAACAACAACTAGCAATTATCCATAGATGAGACACCATTGTGAAAACCCCAGAACATGAGAGTGAGGCTAAAGCAGCCTCCTGGACAACAGAGACTGAGAAGGATCACATTAGAAGGGTAAGAGGAGCAGCTACATACCAACTGCATCACCCTTTTCCCCAGGCTGGCACATTGAGAATGCCCTCCTAAGCCAATGGTTTCTCCAATGGGAAAAAGAGAGCCAAAGGTGAACATCAGGTTCTCCAGTATTGCTGGACACTTTCTGGGAGACCCACTTGGGTCTCACCTTACGGGGATCACTGAGGAGCTTTACCACCGGGGATCACATAGGAACAGAGAAGGTGGGTAGTACTTAAAGCAACCAGCAGTCAGATCATGGCAGATCACATTCCTGCTTGTACTGGCATTGGAGCAGAGATCCCAGTCAGTGGCTCTGCCCATCTGCAGAGCTGAGCTGGTACTATGACTGGCCTGGGAGCCGGAGGGTACTTCTGCCTAATTTGGGTCCCTAGCCAACAAGGTGTGCCAGGTGTGGAGCCCATTCTACAGCTGCACTGCCCAGAGAAGCAAATGCAAAGTCCTGACCAACTGCTGAGTATAGCCTACAATCCTGCCCAACAAGGAAGTCTGGCCAGAGAAATCAGAAAGCCAAGGAGCCCATCCTACAGCTGCACTTTCATCACTGTCTTGTCAGAGATTCTAGCCAATAGCTCTGCCCAGCTGCACAGCAGAGCCGTTGACCCCATCTGACCAGTGAACTCAGTGGGCAGTCTGCCTTATTTGGGTTCCCTGCCAACAAGTTGTACCAGCCGTGGAGCTTGTTCTATAGCCCTACCTGGAGAGAGAAGCAAATTCGCAGCCACACTCAACTGCTGAGTATAGCCTATGACCCACCTGATCAGGAAGCCTGATCAGTGAGTCCAGGAAGCTATGGAATTCATTGTACAGTCAGCTTGGACTGGGAACCAAACCAACAATCCTGTCCTCCTGTTAAGTATAGTCTCTGGCCCCACATAACCAGGAAGCATGCAGAGTGATCTTGGACAGCCTAGGCACCTAGCCTATGGTACTGCTCACCAGCAGATCCTAGACTGTGACCTTGCCCAGTCGCTGAACAAAGCCTATGGAGTCGCCCAGGCAAGAAGCCCAGGCAGTGGACCCCACATAATCATGGAGCATAGCCCATGGCCCCATCTGAACACAGAACCCAGACAGTGACCCTGCCCAACTGTGGAGCACAGTCTCTAGCTCCATGTAACTATGGGAGACAGCTGGAGGCCCTCCTAAGAAGTAGCCCAGCCTGTGACTTTACCCAACAATGAAACACAGCCAGCAGCTTACTAGATTGTAAAGGCCAGCCAGCAGTCCTGCCCAGGTTTGGGACACAGTCATAGCCCCTGCATAATTTTAGAGCACAACCTAGGCCTTATCTGACTCTTAGCCTTGCCTGTGGCTCCACTAGGACACAGAGACCAGATGGTAGCACCATCCAGTTGGAGAGCACAGCCTGAGGCCTCCCCCAAACAAAAGCAATGGTTCTTAGTCCCTAGCCCTACCCAATTGTGGAGTCCAAACCCCTACTGGCACCACCCTGGTAAGGAACACAGCCTGTACCTCATCTGGCCAGAAGTGATTAAAGAATCCAGATAAGGGCACCACTAGACTGTGGAACACAGCCTGTAGCCCTGCTTGAATGCAGAGTTCAGTTGGTAGGATAATCAAACCATAGAACACATAGCAACCCCTCTTCCCCCCCACCTCAGAGCACAAGCATTGGACCCACCCAAACCAAGACCCTGATAACAAGCATTGCCTACGCATGGAAGCTACCACAACAATAGTCCAGTACCTCTAGCTGATGGGTGAAGATCTGTCCCTGCTGAAGTGAACCTATAAAGTCTAGGAGACTCAAATGTGCAGGTACAAAGACAAGGAATCAAGGACCACAGACTCTGCCTCCACCTTTATTGTGAATGTGATCAATACAACAAGGGAAGAAGAAAAACAAGAAGGAATGTAAAGCTGTAATAATCAGGACAGTGGTCTAGGGAGTTTTGTGTGAATAGAACAAGCTGTGCTCATGATGGGCATGCAGATGGAGAGCGTGGAGTGGGTGACCTCCTAAGATAAATGTTTCTCCTAAGTCGAGCATTTACTCCCTGGATGAGTGCATTGAGCTGCAACAAGAATCTGTTTTCAGCCCAGATATCTTAAAGGGGCCCAATTTTCCAGACACTCCTTCTTTGCTTTTCAACTAGTCTCATCCAGGGAGGCATGTGTTTATTAAATCTCTAGCCAGGCACTATGAATTCCCACAATCTTCAGGCACAATGTGAAAGTAGTGTGTACAAAGGGCTCAGTGAGTACCTATGCCTGTTTGCTCTTTGCTCCCAGGGCTTTTGGGTGGGAGGGCACTTTTGGACCCTGATTCTGACACCAGACCTGTTAAAAGATAAACTGGTGCATATTACAATTTTCAAGAGTTTATTAACACATATATCAAATCTAATTGGGCAGCACCACACCAACAGTGATGAGGACTCCACAAACAGGAGCTAAGGGAGAGGCTTATATAGAAAAGACATGTGGGTAAGCAAGGGCATATTTGGTTTGCTATAGCTTAAGCAGTTGTCTAATTTGCAAAAACCTAGTTGGCTATTTGTAGTTCTCTGTTCTTGAGTTTCATTTTCTCAGATTCAAGTGCATTTTACTCTGGTTTAGGTTTTGCTTTACTTATAGGCTACCAAGGTATTAGACCCGCTTCATTCTTTTTTTTTTTTTAGATTTTATTTATTTATTTGAGAGAGAGAGAGAGACAGAGATAGTGAGAGAGAGCACAAGTGGGGAGGAGAGGGAGAAGCAGGCTCCCCACAGAGCAAGGAGCCCGATGTGGGACTCGATCCCAGGACTCTGGGATCATGACCTGAGCTGAAGGCAGATGCTTAACTGACTGAGCCACCCAGGCGCCCGGACCCACTTCATTCTCATGACTTCTTTGATTACTTTAACATATATTTTAAAACAATTTTAACCCCAATTAATTTAATTAGTAATAATTTTCAAATATGCAATGATAAGTAGAAACACATCTATCTGTTCTGGATTTGAAATGGATACCCCCCCTTCCCTCTCATTCCACCAGTGGATTCTTATTCACCTGTAAAAGAAATAAGAACACAGCCTGACTTTGGGGATTTATATTTGTGATTTCCTCTTTCACAGGGCATGTGAAGAATAGTAAGCCTTGCCGAGCTCTACTCCCCAGCAAACACACTGTACATGCATACACAACCAGAATGAAAATCCTGCCAGTTCATATTCTCAAAACTTGGTTTGTAGTAACAATAGCATTTTAGAAGTCTCAGGTTTTTTACATTGTGCATATAAGCTAACAATTTTTTTGTGACTAAAGCCTGCTGAAAGAATTAACCATGTCACATATACTAAAGAGGTAGGCTTTTAGATGATGTCCCTCTTTTATTTGCCACATTTATTCATCCCTTTATTGTGTATAATTAAGCTGATGTAGCAATATTTTGGAACTTTAAAATGAAATCTGTAAGATTATTCATCTATCTTTCCTTTCCTAGGTAGTGAATTAAAACATGAGAATCAAGGGATCCTTAACTACTACATTCCCAGCAAGGACAATGGCTGGGGAAAGGTAATTGTAGCAACCATGCTCTTCTAATGTTACATGTTAAGAAAGCACTAATGATGGGGAAGTGTTTGGGACTGTCCCGTGGAATGGGAGCCTAATGTTATAGAAGGAGCAGAGACTTTAGGTTACTTTTCAATAGTTCCTAGAGTTTAATTGCTTCAGAATTCCATCTCTAAATCTCATGTTTTGGTCCCCCTCAAGAAAATGGGGACAGAGAACTGCTTCCTCGTGGATTCTCAATGATCTATTCTGTCATTTTCTCATCTCCCCCATCTGTGCTTTTTGTCATCAAACAATAACTTGGTAGGAGTTGGAGGAAGTGGTAGAGAGGCTCATCTGGGTTGGGCGCCGGAAGTGATGGCTGCAATGGTAACTGCACTTTTTTTTTATTGTTGTCATTGCTAAAGGTATTTGGTATTTTGGAGGAAGCTAAAGAGCAATTGAATTTAGAAGACTATTCCATCAGTCAGATAACGCTGGAACAAGTCTTCCTGACCTTTGCTACCCCAGAGAACACAGAAGGGGACTGAAAAAAAAAAAAAAGGTGCAATGAGATTCACTTCTAACTACTGACACTATGTCTTCCTTAGTACTCTCTACTATACCTGGATACACAGAGGGGCATTTCTGTGTGTGTATATCTTGATATATATATATATATGTATGTATTTATGTAATAAAGAGTCCCCCAAAGGAGACCATATGTCAGTTCTTTGTAGATTTACATGGATGGCTTGTGCAAATCTAAAATTCCTGTTTTCTATGCTAGAAACATGTAAGTGCAGCATTTATCAGGGTGGGGACAAAGACTTATTCCTGAGTACTGTGAATGAACAGAAACATCCAGAAATGATGGGGCTGTCAGATGGGACAGCCTGAAGACCAAAAGCTTTATGTTTTAGCAACTAAATTATATGTAAGAAGATCATAAAGCCTGGGGGGAAAAATCATCTTTCCCATGAATATGCATGTGCACACACCCACACCAATTTTATAACAAAAGAGTCAAATTAAAATCAATGTCAAAGTTTATGGGGATAAGTTGGACTATTTCCAAAATTCAAAACAAGATTCTACATTTGTCTACATTTATAAAAGAACTTTTGCTCCAAGAATATTTAGAGTCCAAGAAAGGAAGCAAAAACATTCTTTAAAATTAGTGTGTTTACTTTTCTACTATTGCCCAATTCTCTGATTAAAACAAAGGAGAAAAAAGGTATAGAGGGAGACAGTTCTTCTGACTCTTGTTTGGGCCCATGGAGTCCCCCATAAAAAAACATGAGAAATCTAATCACCTCCCTAGATTCATGGGCAGATAAGCAGACAAGGAGGATGATCCTCCTGAAATTACAAGATGGAAAGAGTCACTGAAGCTGTTCTATTTTGGGGTGGTTTGGGGGTGATGGTTTTTATATCAATTGGATATTGTAATAAAATGATATCCAGAAACTATTGTTTTATTGTTTTTAGCTGTAATATAACTTTCTGTGGGTTCCAACCAATATTACCCATAGATCTCTGCCATGTGATTTCAGTAACTGCAAAATTTGTTTCCCAGGCTGGCCATCTCTAAAAAAGGAGAGAAATTTCATTTTATTAATTTAAATTTATTTTATTATTTTATTTAGTTGCATCTCATCACCACTTGGCTTTATTACTAATCCTAAAAAAATTCCTTTAGTCAGGTAGTCTTTTTCACTGGCCCTCCCTATTTCTCAACCCACCTCTTATCTTCTCACAAGAAACAACAACAAAGGGTACATTCCTCTACTAAGCACTTTACTGCATTGCATCATTTAATCCTACTACAAACCTCTAGGCTAGGTAGTGCTGCTATTATCCTCATTGCACTTGGAGGCTCAGAGGGGTAAAGGGATTTACCCAGGGTCACCCAGCAAGCAAGCAGGAACATCTGTCAATATCCCCATTAGGAGCCAGGAAACCACACAGCAATTTGAACAGGAAAAGTTAAAAGAATTATTAACTATAACAGGGGGTTAGCCATAAAAAAGTACAGAGAATGCTCAAGAATACACTATGGCTGAGAGAAATTATCCAAGGAAGAAACAAACTTGGAAGAGGACTCCTCCCCAAGGCTGGGATTCAGATCATCTTGGAGAAGGTGAAGTTGGTGGGAAGTTCCTTGGCCTTGGGTCAAGGCTGTTCAACACCTGCTGAGCAAGCAGGAAATGCCCTATAGGGTACAGGCTGCTGACGCTGGCCAACAAGGAACTGGCTGGATCTAGCAAGCAGGAAACTTTTCTGTGATTGTTGGCAGGCTGGTGCTAGGAAGGGGCACCTGCGAGAGTTACTGAGCATCCACGGTTAATGAGCGTGGGGGTGTAGGGTGAATGCCGCGAAATGTCCTCCACACCTGCTGCTGGCAGCAGCAAGGTGATAGGAAGAAAAATCAAGAGAAAACACCCGAACCTGGACCAGCAGCCCTTGGTCCTGCAGGGTCCATCCAGCACGCTTTCCTGACAAAGCTTAACCTAACAGTTCAAGAGCCCAGCTCCATTTAGCCCTGAGAGGCCCGAACCCGATACCTGGTCCAGTAGGGAAGAGATTTGCCCTCTGACAGAATCCAGAACCTGGGCTTCCAACCATTAAGCTACACTGGAGGTGCGTATTGGCTGGGGCGGGGGTCCGCCAAGAGAAGCGACCATCAGTGAATTGCAGCAGCATGAGAGAGGTCCGGGGGTGAGGCCCACTGAGTGGCTGGCGGGTCAGGGCAGCGCGTGCAGAGGACGCAGTGGGGGTCTCCACGCGCTGAGCGCCCACGGGCAGAGGCGGCGCATGCCACCGGGACGAGGCGCGTGGACGGCGCGCCCTAGGCCGGGTCGCCACGCGTCTGGGGCTTTGAGTGGCCCCCGGAGCAGGGTTGCGGGCCCCTGTGCCTGCGCCTCTGCAAGTTATCTGTTGACCCCCACAGACCGTGGAGGGCGGCGGCCACTGAATCTCCTCCCACTTCCTGCCACCAGCTACTGGCCCGCTGAGGGTGACCATGACACATGAGGGAGAGGGGAGCCAGCGACAGATGGAGGATGGTCGGGTCGTCCAGTGGGGTGCAGAGGCAAAGAGCCTGGGAGCAAGCGAACGGGCCCGAGGTAGGGCCCTCAGGGTGGTGGGGCCCCGGGGCAGTACGCGAGGGAAGAGTTTAGTGAGGCCTCACGCTCTGAGGTGTCCCGGGGAGGGTCCAGTGCGCCCGCGGTTGGGGGGGGGACCGCGGATAGTGACGCGGGGGGGATAGTGAGATGCGTGCTGGGAAGGTGGTGAAGCCTGAGCGCGCGAGGGCTGCGGGGAGCGAGGGGCGGGGTGGGGCCTGGGCGCGTGTGCGCATGCGCGAGGAAGGGGCCCGCGGTGGCGGGGCGGTTGGGGAAGGCGTTGGCAGGAGGCACCGCGCCGCGGGTGACGCTTGTCCCTCACAGGTGGAGGTGGAGGTGTGGCCGTGGCGGCTACGAGGCCTGAGCGGTGAGTGTGGGACGTCCCCGCCCCGGTGTCCTCTCCCCAGATTCCCCTGGGGCGGCGGAGGGTGCTCCCTGGACTGCCCCCGGGAGGCCGACCCGCCGGCCCGCACTCTGAGCTCAGAGCCCGAAAGTGCGAACCCCACACAAGACCCCCAAGCCCCCAAATACACTGGAACCCACCACAGCCCTCTCTGCTCCCCCAAAACGATACCCAAACCCCCTTGGAAGTGATACACATATAATATTACCTGTACCTCACTGTCGACTGTCAGGGGCCGCCACACCCAGTGTTGACCCTCCCTCCTGTTTTGCGTGTCCCTCGCTGGACCTCACTCCCATCCTTTTTCTCTCCGGGTCCCCCTGCTCTGGGGAGTGCATCCAGGGCTTCCCAGGGAGGAGAAAGTGCCCTCCCCCTCAAAAACACCAAAACAAACACAGGAAGTAAAGACACTTCTCTGGACCCCGAAACACACACAGAAGCTAACGAGAACAAATTCAACAAAATTTTATTTGGGCTGTACCAAGTATTTGAAAGCCAGGGCTCTGGAGGCACGTGTTGTGGGTCTAGGCCTGCGGAGTCCAGAATTTATTTGCTGTGTGACTGTCCCAGTCAGCTGGGGCTGCCCTAACAGAATACTGTAGGCTGGGTGACTTAAAACAACCAATGTATTTCTCACAGTTCTGGAGGCTGGGAAGTCTTCCGTCAAAGCTCCATGCAGATTCAGTGTGTGGTGAGAGCCTGATTTCTGATTCACAGACAGGCATCTTCTCAACATGTCCTTCACATGGTGGAGGGAGCAAGGGAGCTCTCTGGGGGCTGTGTCATAAGGGCACTAATCCCATTCATCAGGGCTCCATCCTCATGAGCTCGTCACATGCTGCGTGTCCCTCATGGTGATACCATCACACTGGGGTTAGGATTTCAACATACGAATCTGGGGAGAAGAGGAGGACACAGACATTCAGATTATCGCAATGACCTAATGTAAATTGCTTGATTTCACTAAGCCTCAGTATCCTCCTGTAAAAGAAGCTGGATACTATTTGTACCCATTAGAATATTTCAACTGACAGGAGGTAGTAAACGTTCAAGAAATAGAGAAAGGGGTATGGAAGTTAAGTGTTGCAGGAAGCTCAAGTGTCTTTGTTCTCCTCTGCCAAAGCGGAAATTGCACTGAACTACGTTAAACAGGCAAGGAAGACTTTATGCACGGCTCTAGGAACTGGGAACACAGGCCAGAACTCAGTCTGAGCTCAGTTCTGCTCAGACAAGGGATGGGAGGGTGTTTGAGGGCTGAGTGAGACAGTGGGAATGTGCTGGAGGACTGTAGAGGGGAGGTTGACCAGGAGAACACATTGAGTAACTTCCTGAAGTTTGCTCTGTGGTTCTCTGTGATTAGGCCATGTGTGTTTGCTGTTGGTGCCTGTTAGAAGCTAGCTCCTACCCTCCCACAGAGACTGGGAATAGGGGTGCTATCTTCCTTGAGGATTACATTTCAAAGGATGGCTCCCAGGCCCTTCAGAAAGAGAGTTTGGGGTTGTAAAACAGAAAAGAGGCTTGTAAAAAGAGTTATATATGTTTTAAACAGAGAAGGGATGTTTAATTAAAGCTTTTCTAAAGCAGATGCCCAGAGAAAAGGGTGGTCAGGACCTAGAACCAGGGAGAGCCATATGTATAGTATTAGTCCAGCCCAGAGGAACATTCAAGCCATCTTGGTCCCCTCATTTTATGTAAAGTAGGCAGAAGATTTAAAAGGAAAGATAACCTCTGTTTAAGGAGAAGAAAGCTGCTGTGTTTCATTCAGAACAGCTCAGTGCTTTTCAGAAGAGGAAATAAATTGTAGTGAGGATAAGTCTCATTCTAAGAATTTAGGACTGTAAGCAATGTAATGGCTTAATTTTCAGTAACTTCATTTAATTGTTTTTTGAGAGCCCACACATCAATAGGTTGCCCTAAAGTTTTTTAGACACACCAGGTTCATGTCCCTTCAACTTCCTCCTCCTTTCCCTCCCACCTCAGTGTTGCATCCAAGTTTGGGATGGACAGGAGTGGCAGTGCATTTAGTATTTAGGGTGTTAAAAGTTCAGAAACAGTAGAGGTAAAACCAATGAATCACTGAAGCAGTAATTACTAAAGTTTTGTGCGTACACCAAAAAGACAGTTCATGAACTATGAGCACTCAAAGCAAAACATGGAATGATTGGATTTATTGTCATAAAGCAGCTTATAGTGTGAGAAGGCAGTGACTGTTTATTCTTCATAGTAATTTGTTATGGTATTAGATTATTTTAAATGATAGGGAATGGCTAGTGGTTATCTCATAACAATTTTGGGAAATAGTTTTAAGTTTTGCTTATGATTTCCAGAGGCATAAGCAAGAAATGAGTGAGGTTGAGTTAGCCTAGCTAAATTAAGCTTTGTATGTTTAAACTGTTTTTGTCTGCTCAGGGAATTTCTAAGGCTGGCCTCTGATTGTTTTTCATTTTAACAAGGGACAGGATATTGAGGGTAAGTTGATTTCCTCACTAGGCTCTTTTGGTGTCAGACCTCTTCTGCCCTAAGATTCTTCCATATGTATCTGGGGAATAGTGAAGGAGGTGGGTTGACAGGACACTGGGAAACTGCTTTTCCTCTTTGTGCATAACTTCATATCTGTTGTTTTACCCTAGAAAGGATAAAGGGAAAGAACTGGCCTCTGTCTTTTTAGGCTTAGGTGTTGTTCTGTAGTCCTTAGAGCAAGAGAAAAAAGTTCTTGGACCATTAGGTATTTTATTGTCTTTGGTGCAATTGTAAATTGTTGAGAGTTTTTTGATTACTGATTCATTTTCATTGCTGGCAATTGGTTCAAATTGGTTCTGTTTTTTTCTTAATTCAGTTTGGGAGGTTATATGTTTTTAGGTATATCCCTTTCTTTTAGGTTGTCCAGTTTGTTGACATATAATTTTTCTTGATATTTTCTTATAATTCTTTGTATTTTTGTAGTGTTGGTTCTTTCTCTCTTATTTTAATTTTATTTATTTGGGCCCTTTTTCTTGTCTTATTGTTAAGTCTGGCTAGATGTTTATCAATTTTGTAGACAAATTAAACTAGATGGATACCTAGATACCTAGAAATAAACCTAATCAAAGAGGTGAAAGACCTGCACTCTGAAAACTGTGACACACTAAATGAAAGAATTGAAGAGAACACAAAGAAATGAAAAGACATTCCCTGCTCATGGATTGGAAGAACAACTATTGTTAAAATGTCCATACTACCAAAAGCAATCTACAGATTTAATGAAATCCCTATCAAAATACCAACAGGATCTTTCACAACTAGACCAAAAAGCCCAAACAGCCAAAGCTGTTTTGAAAAAGATAAAGCAAAGCTGGAGATACCACAATTCCAGACTTCAAATTATATTGCAAAGCTATCATGAAACAGTATGGTACTGGCACAAAAATAGACACATAGATCAATGAAACAGAATAGAGAGCCCAGAAAGAAACCCACCACTATATGGTGAATTAATCTTTGAAGAAGGAGGGAAGACTATCCAATGAGAAAAAGACAGTCTCTTCAACAAATGTTGTTGGAAAAACTGGTCAGCTACATGTAAAAGAATGAAACTGGAACATGGTCTTTCACCACATGCAAAAATAAATTCAAAATCGAATAAAGACCTAAATGTGAGACCTGAAGCCATAAATATCCTAGAAGAGAGCACAGACAGTAAGTTCTCTAACATTGGCTGCCAACAACACTTTTATAGGTGTCTCCTAAGGCAAGGGAAATAAAAGCAAAAATAAACTATTGGGACTACATCAAAATATAAAGCTTCTGCACAGTGAAGGAAACAATAAAACTAAAAGGTAATTTATGGAATGGGAGAGCATATTTGCAAATATCAAAATCAATAAAGGGTTAGTATCCAAAATATATAAAGAACTGATACAACTCGACACCCAAAAAACAATCTGATTGAAAAATGGGCAGAAGACATGAACAGACATTTCTCCAGAGAAGACATCTAGTTTGCCCACAGAAATATGAAAAGATGCTCAACATCACTCATCATCAGGGAAATGCAAATCAAAACTACGATGAGATATCACCTCACACCTGTCGGAATGGCTAAAATCAACCACACAAGAAACAATAGGTATTGGTGAGGATGTGGAGAAAGGGGAATCCTCTTGCACTGTTAGTGGGAATGTAAACTGGTGCAGCCACGCTGGAAACAGTATGGAGGTGACTCAGAAAGTCAAAAATAGAACTGTCCTTTGATCCATCAATTGTACTACTAAGTATTTACCCAAAGGGCACAAGAGTACTAATTCAAAGGGATACATGCACCCTGATGTTTACAACAGCATTATCTACAATAGCCAAACCATAGACAGAGCCAAAATGTTCATCAACTGATGAATGGATGAAGAAGTGGTATGTGTACACACACACACACACACACACACACACACACACACACACACACACA